TGGGCTGTGGCACTGAACCTTTAAAAAACATCAGTGCAGGATATACCGGGCAAATATGAACCGGGCAATGGCACTTGACCTTAAAAAAGCATAAGTGTAGGATATACAGGGCAATGGCACTTTAGGGTATACCGGGCGAATGTATACCGGGCAGTGGCACTTAACTAGACCTAGTATATATTTCGAAAATTTACCAAAGGTCTAGTCATACTAGGTCTAGTTAAGTGCCATTGCCCGGTATACATTTGCCCGGTATATCCTACACTGATGTTTTTTAAGGTCAAGTGCCACTGCCTGGCCTCCATTTGCACGGTATACCTTACACTGATGTTTTTTTAAGGTCAAGTACCATTGCCCAGTATACATTTGCCCGGTATACCCTACACTGATGTTTCTTCCAATCTATCGTCAGTAAGTATTAAATATCGAATAAGTGTAATTATATCCACGAATAAATTGATATCAAATCGGATGTAATAAATATTTCGGACATTCACCAAAGCGACTATGTGATTGTCAACATTCACCGGTGAAAGTCAGCAGCCACCGATTTCGGTCATTCACAGTAACATGCACATTATTTACATAATAACCTTTTCAGGACGTTTATTTCATACTTCACCTAAATAGCATCCGGCATTATATAGAATGTCTAGGATTTATATACAATGCCTAGCGATAGGATGTAATACTTCTCATATTTCATACTTTACCTAAACACGTCAGGTATTATGCATAATGACGGCGTTTCATACTTTGCCGGTAACAGATATATTAAATAGATCGAGGGAACAAAATTTTCTCACAGTTCGTTAGGGGAAAAACGTTAAAAAGTTAATTAATGCATTACTTTTAGATTAAAAGTGTGTGAATATTAAAGTGTGAGTATGAATATTAAAGTGTGAGGAAGCGTGTTTAATTCAGAATATTAAATAAGTAAGAATATTTAGACAAAGGAATAACAAAAAAAGATCAGTTAAAGCCTTTTATGTAACATATATCTATCTGTATATATATATATATAAACTCATGTTTGTGAAAATTGCAACACCATGAAGGACTTATGCGAGTGAGCTGAAATTTTCAGGAAATGCAAAGTAGAGCATGATATGCAAATGATTAGAATTTCAGATCCGTAGCGCATGCGCATGCTGAGCAGCGCCCTCTGAACGGCTGATGGATCCGAATAAATAGACGCCTGCCGCGAGGCGTGTATGGTTATCGGTGGTAATCTGATTGTGGTAAACGTTAGCTTAGTCGTTACTTATGTCTCTTCGACGAAAGAGAGCTAGTTTTCAACAACTTACGGAGTTTGAACGGGGGAGAACCATCTGCCTTCGGGAAGCTGGATTATCTTCTCGCGCAGATGCCGCTCGTGTGCAGCATAACAGCAGCACAGTGATGCGTGTTTCGAAGCAGTGAACGAACGAGTGTCAGACAACTCGGAAATCCGGGAGTGGACCCCGAAATGTCACGTGAGCTCGCGACGATAGACACCTGGTTCGCATGGCGCTGACTGACCGTACGGCCCCCACTAGACAACTGGCAGCACAGAGGTCAATAGCTACAGGTGTTTCAGTGTGTGCTTCATCAATTCATAGACATCTGATGCAGCATGGACTGCGCGCAAGGGACTCCTTTATACAGTATACCCCTCACGCTAAAAAAACGCCGCCTGCGGCTGCAATGGGCCAACCAGCATAGGGACTGGCGTGCTGATTGGCAGCGTGTCGTGTTTTCTGATGAATCCCGCTTTAATTTGTAGTACCATGATGGTACTACATTTACCATGTAGTACCATTCGTGTCAGACGCTATGCCGGTGAACGCCACCTTCCGGAGTTCGTTATCGAACACCACAGTGGACGTACACCCGGAGTTATGGTCTGGGGTGCCATAGCATATCATGAACGATCTCAATTGCTACGAATTGTGGGTAATCTGAACAGCAACCGGTACATCAGTGAAGTTCTACAGCCCCAAGCTGTTCCCTTCATTCAAGCCGTGCCAGGCGCTGTATTTCAACAGGACAATACCCGCCCTCATATTGCTAGTTCTGTTCAATCCTTCCTTGCATCGCGGCAGGTACAGCTTCTTCTTTGGCCTGCGTATTCCCCGGGTATGTCACCGATTGAACATGTGTCAGATATCATTGGTCGGTGTCTCACTCGTGATCCTCGTCCTGTTGCTTCTACAGACGAACTTTGGGTACGCATATAAACAATATGGAACGCTCTTCCTCAGGCAGACATTCAAAATTTGTTTGACTCCATGTCACGTCGTGTAGCAGCACTTATTGCGGCTCGTGGTGGTTACACAAAATACAGATTTTGATCTCTTGTTATTGTTTGTTTGCTTTGAAAGTTTTATAATTTATTTGTACTACTACTAGTCAGCTGTGTATTAAATTTCATTTAATTATGACGATTCCTTCATGGTGTTGCAATTTTCACAAACATGAGTTTATNATATATATCATTAATAGTTTTCATTAATAGTTTTCTATTTTGTATTATATAGCAATAAAGAAAACAAAGGAAATAAAAATAAAAATATGACCACTGAAGCCGACGTCTTCAGGGGGTACCGGCCTCGGAAGCCGTAAACCAAAACCTTTTCTATTGAGAGAGAGGCAAAATTAAATGCTAAAAGTAACTCTCTCAGTACCCCGAAGGTTTTGTATAAGTCCAGGAAAAAATATATGAAATACATAAAGCTAATTCAAAAATAAAATTCAAACAAAAACAATAAAAACTCACATTAAACCGGTCAAACAGCGATTTCACAAGCAAACTAAATGCAAAGAAAACACTTAAAACAAAAGAAAACAACGCCCTCTATTAAAATGCGCATATTGAAAAAAAGAAGTAAAAGAGAAGATTACGTAACACATATAATACTTAACCGGAACTTAAATTGCGCCCTGTTAAAAGAAATAAAAATCCAGTATTCTTCATACATTTTCTTAATCAAAAAATTAACATTACGAAAGTTAAAAGGAAAATCATTATTACTCAAATTATTCAAAAAATTATTTACAGTCTCCTGAAAACTTTCAACTTTATTTCAAATATTTTTAATCCAAACCAATTGTGAAAAAACTAAATTTTTAAACATTTTATTATGCAGATTAGTATTAAAGTTTCAGAAAAAATAACTTTAAATTTAAAAGCTTTCCTTTTATCAAAAACACCAATTTTGATTATTTTATCAAGAATATCAATTTTAAAATCTAAATATTCAACAATAAGCAATTCTCATTAGTTTTCTTCAAAACCAAATCTTTAGGATAAATACTATAAATAAAATTAAAATTATCACAATTAAACAAAATCAAATCATCAATATATGAGTATCTAAAAGCTTTAAATTCATTGTACTAAAAAAATTTAGCTTCAAAAAAATTCAAAAAAATATTAGCAAAAGCACCGGAAAATGAATTACCTTGTGGAATTCCAATAATTCGTTTATAAAGATCTAAACCATTAAAAAGAACATTCTCAAAAAGATTAAACCTACATAAATCCAACCAATAAGACTTATCAATTTTCTTATTAAATAAATACTTATCAAAAATTTTGATACAAATTTCATTAATCTGTTCATAAAGTATTAATGCTAGAAATATCATTATTATTATTATAATCCAAAACTTCGACATAACAATATTTTTCTCTTTTTTAATTTTAAGTAAAATAATTTTTAGAAAATTAAAACATTTTTTACTAATATCAGAATTGTAACAATTAGTACCACACGCAATAAACCTAAATTTAACCGGACTTTTATGAAATTTAACAATAGGAAATAAATATGGAAATGTAATCCTATTTAAACTAAATTTCAATTTTTTTCTAAATGCAATAATTCGTCTTTCAATAACTTTCTTATCTTCTTTTAATTTTAAATAAGTATTATTTGCGTTATATTCTCCAATAATCAATTTTTAAATTTTTTTTACACATAATACAAAAATTATTTGATGCTTTATCAACAACAGTAGCAATAAATTTATCTTTAAGAATTTTAGTATTTCTAGACAAATCATAATCAATAATAGTACCACTGGGATATGAACTAAAACTGGTATAAATAAATTAAATTTAACTTTTTCAATAATTTTAGCTTTCCACTCTGAAAAACCCTCAACGGGCCAATGATATTTTCTGGAAACTTTTGCTATAAAAAAATCAAGATCCTTTTTGATGGATATAATAAAATCTTAATTTTTCATTTTAAATCGTGTCCTAAATTTTGAACATTTACTTAAAATATTAATTAAATTTTGATCACCACCAATCTCCAAATTTCCCGTAATAATATGTCATAATCATTATCAATATATTGAGAAAAATTCTTATCATTACAATAACAATCAAATTTAGAAATACAATTTAAATTTCTACTTAAAAATTTATAATTACATGCCTTTTTTTTAAGCGTAGAAGAATATTTGTAAGCTGCTGATGCCTTAATTTAATTTAAAGGAAAAAATTCAGAAAGACCATGTATAACCAGCGGCAACTTAGCAATTTAAAATTTTCTACCATGAAAATTAATCGTACAAAAAACCTTTTTAACATTAGAACCCTTATTAAAGAGTAAATCAGTTTTACTAACGCCAATTTTTAATTTAATCAAATCCAAAACAATAAATTTAATAAGTTCAGTATCAAATTTAATTTTAGAACCAAAATTAATAAGGAAATTTTTAAGAACTTTATTTTTAATACCAAAAATATATTTTCTAATATTAAAAATATTATTCAAATTAACAGGTAAGTTACAAATATTCGAAAAATCATCAAAATCAATAACTTTGCCATTACCTTTTCCACTACCTCTTTTATTCCTTCCAGTCACGCTTCCCTACCCCACATTGAGACAACAAAGTATAACTTGAGGGGGGAATTATTAGATATATTTCAAGCTCATAAGTTAACAAATAAGTTAGCAATGTTTATTTAAATTGAATGTTTTATCCTTTCCTTCTTTTTACAGATCAATAGGCGGCCGAATAGTTGGAAGTGTTTGGTGGTTTTTCACTTTGATAATTATTTCCTCGTATACTGCAAATTTAGCTGCTTTTTTAACCGTTGAGAGAATGGTAACACCAATTAATTCTGCGGATGATCTAGCCAAGCAAACAGAAGTAGAATATGGCACTCTTAGATACTCTTCAACTCAAGAATTTTTTAAGGTTAATATACATTTGTGCATTCTGCTATTATTTTAGATTTCTTTAGTTAGACATAAACTATCTGGCTTTCATATATATTTTTTCTCTATCAATAGTAGTAAGGATGCTATTTTTGAAATTTAGAGTTTTGAAAAATAAGTACTCAAATTTATTTTAAAAAATAGCACTTATTGTTGTGAAATAAAGTTTTTTATCTTTTGGATATGAAATGTAATTAGCAATATGAAAACTATTTTATTCCATAAATCACAAATACTAATAATTAACATACGTAAGAAGAAAAATAAAAAAAAGTAATCTAAAGGGCATCGTATCGAAGAATTATGTAAGGTGTCGAAAAATGAAATATATAAATAAATGAAAAAAACATTATTGTATAAAGTGTCCTTACTTTTATAAGGTATTCTTTAATTTCATTATTACTTAATTCATACATTCGATATAGCTTAAACAGTTTTAATGTAAGGCAATAATTATCTTGACTCATACATTAACTATTTGAGAGATCAAAATGCTTTTTCTCCAATTTGTTTTACTAATTTCAATCATTTTGGGAAGAAGTAAGGGGCATTTTGTTGAAGGGAACATGGAGGAAAAGTAGTTGGTTAGTTTGGAATTTTATGTTTAGCAATTAGAATGTAAAAAATCTTTTGCAAAGAATTATTTTTGCAACTTATTTCTTATTTATTTCTTTTGAATAAAAATTATTAAGAAAATGTGGCGTAAAAGTATAGTTTTAAAATTTTTTATTCACTTTGAGTTTTAAGTGGATTTTTTTCTCTTTTTTTTGAGGTTTTACAAAACACCCATATAACACTAGCCATAAAAATTAAATATAACGTAAAACTATTGAAATATTAATAAGTTAAATATTTTTCCAGCTACATAATCGATATAGACATCAATCTCTAAATATATGTTATGCTAATAAATATCAAAAATGAAATTAGACATTTTCCATGAAACGCATACCCGTTGTCTTTACGAAAGAAACTTATAAGCTTTTCGCACATTGAAATTCACAGTTTGAATAAACAAAATTCAATCTAAAATTTTGGTTTTTTTCGTTTAAGCTATTATTTCTCTTTAAGCCATTGCAAATAAAAAATTTGAAAATTGAAAATTTTGCTCCTTAACATTTAAATTTTTTTCTAGGGAGACAAAAGATCTAAAATAAAGGTTAAATAGTTGTTATTATAATTATAAAAAAAATCTACTAGTGTTGTTATATTATTCTATTTCTATTATAATTATTGTTATTAATTATATTATTATTAATTATATTGTTATCATTTATAATGAAGAAACTCCAATAAACACCAAACAAACTGTTAAACATTTTAATTGAGAGTGGAATTTTCAATTTTATTGATTTCTCTTGTACAATAAAACATCAAGCAGTCTGAACGTATCCAATATATTAATTTGATATCGGCAGAAACTAGTTTATTCCACTCCCATTGATGTCTACAAGCATCATAGGAAGCAGTTTGTAGTAATCATGAGCAATAGCATACCGCACATTTGGCATTTTTATCATCAGCTTATTGTTACTTTTATCTTTCATCCTATTAACCTCTTTCATTGGGCGATAGAATAAATATTATTCTTATCAGTTTTGTCCTCAAAGTGACTGTTCTCATATTTATTGCATTTTTATCATCAGCTTATTGTTACTTTTATCTTTCATCCTATTAACCTCTTTCATTGGACGATAGAATAAATATTATTCTTATCAGTTTTGTCCTCAAAGTCTCATAAATGATAGACTAAAAGTTGGCATAAAGACAAAACTCAAAGTGGCCATATATTTGGATGCCATAAGAAATAAAAATATTATATTTACTTCATTCCTTTTACTGAGGATTTTGAAATTGATTTAACTTATTGATAACATTACCATAAGTATCTGCCCCAGCTGACACTTTACCCAGCTGAGCTGCTTCAGAATCCAATATTACTTCTGAGATTTTCAAAAAAGATCTCGAACTATCGCCTTTATTATGGCCATCTCTAGACGACAGGCACTTTAACAACAGAAATCATGTGCGCCACAAAAACATCCCATTTTACTGTAATATTTCAGAATAACATATCGGTAAGATTTCTTTGAAAGAATGGAAAAATATTTGAGTCTTAATTTGGTATAAGATGTTATACCCTTTTTGTGTTAGTGGTTGCATGTACTTATACACTGGGCTACATACTTTTATTAGTACGTTTTTGTTAGTAAAAATACTAATAATAATATATCTCAATTTAGAACATCTTTTTTTAAGAAAATTTTATATAAATTTATAGAAAAATAACAAATAATCTAGCAATTAAAAGTTTAAAAATTTTATCTAGAAAATTTTTAGCATTATATAGTATGGAAATTTAAACTTTCAGAAATCTAAGATAACTGTGTATGCCCGAATGTGGGAATTTATGAACTCAAGAAAACATGTATTTGTACCTTCTTATGAAGAAGGAATTAGAAGGGTTCGAGAATCAAAAGGTAAATATGCTTTTCTAATGGAATCAACAAAAAACGACTACATTAATGAAAGACAACCATGTGATACTATGAAAGTTGGACGCAATCTAGATGCCAAAGGCTATGGAGTAGCCACACCTTTGGGGTCAAACCTCAGGTAAATCAATCTTATAGTTTGCACATGCATTCAATTGCTGTTAATTTTTTATCAGTATTATTATCAGTATTAAATTAATTTAAAATTTTATTGCAAGCTATATATATATATATATTCAGTTTTTTTATGACAGTAATTTGATGATGATTACTAATTACTTAAATTGAGATAATTTTAAAAATTGAGGATTAATTTTATTTGCAACCAGTTTCTTAAGCCCGTAATTATTTTATATTTTGTACACGATAAACAATCAAAGGAAGGTTGCAGGGTTTCTTAAATGAAAAAAAATTCCTAAAGGTGGTATTAAGGCACGTTATAAACTATTAACTGTAATTGATATACTTGAAAAATATTTTTAACTAAACCATTCGTGGTAGAAACAATCGGGTGTATAAATTTTTTTACTCATTTTTAAACTAATTTTCATGCTAATTTTTGAGTTGACATTTTCTAAAAATTTTTTAAACTGCGTAGTTTTTTTTCAAAAAAAAGCAATAAATAATTTTGCAAAATAACATTACTTTTCGCACTTGATGGCGGTGGATTGTAAAGGATTTGAAAAAATAAGATTCAAGTTATTTCTAATTTTTCTTTCACTTTTTATTGAGAACTTATTATTAGAAAAAATTATTGGTTATTAAAATATTGATTATTAGGAAAAAAAATTGTGAAGTTCATTAGTAATAATGTAACATATTTTTTCAGAACTTTGGCAATATTTTATACTATTGATTCATTATTAATTTACAGTTTGAGCAAATGTAACGTTATAGAATTAAGTTCCAATATCAGTGAAAAGTCTCAAATACGACTTTACGATTTTTCCTATTTCTTTTGAATAATTATGAAAGTAAAAACTTGAATTTGTCAACATACGCATATTGACAAAATTCTTATAATAGGCATTGACATCTAATAATAATGACTGTCCTCGAAAACTTACATTGCAAAAGTTTTAAATCTATTTAAAATACGTTCTCTACCTTTTTAGAATCAATTTAGATGACATTGTAATGACATTATTCTTGGAAAGAATAATGTCAGCAGTATTTATTAACTGTTATAGAGCACCTAATGGTTATAATTATATCTAATTTTTTTTTTTCAAATTTATATTTTCATTTCATAAAAATTAATTTTTTCAATTTTATAATACAAAACATTTATAAGCAATATAGATAGCTTAAATTTGACACTGTTCTATTTTATGATTTTTGAAATACATCATCTTAATGTATATGAAAAATAAGTTTAGAAAAAAGATACACTTAAAGTACCTACATCACTTAAAGTATCTGTATTATTTTAAGTATCTGTATTTTTAGCATCTAAAGACATAAAAATCATTCAAATTTTCTGAGACTCTAATATAAAGCCTTATTTATGGCTCAGGTTAACACTTATTTATGATTCGAACACTTATATCAGTTTCGAAATTATTTATGGTTCCAGTTAACACTTAATTAAAACCTTAAAACATGTGCGAGATGTGTACCCAAATTATGCTTCTACGCTGAATCGAGTTTCCTAAGACTGTAGGTTCAATATGTCATATCTTAATTTAATAAATCACATTTTGCATAACTTTTCAAAGGTAGATTGTAATCCTAATCTGAAAAAACAAAACAAAAAAAAACAGAGCATTTGGAGAAATTTTTGACTTAGATCCCCTACAGGTTAGCCCCAAAGGGGGATCCCCTTTACGATCCCCTCAGGGGCTTTGTGAGTTGAAAATATTAAATAAGAATTCCATTAAAAATATACGAAAGTATGAATCAATTTGATTTTTAAAATATAAATTGTAAGTCGTATTACAAAATTCACTCAAGCAATAGCAATGTTTCGGTTTCATTAATATTTTTTTTAAATAAAATATGTAAAATAATAATCTCTTAATGTAAAATATAATCACATATGTAAAAATAATATATGTAAATATGTAAAAATCTTTTAATAAAATATATAAAATAATGGTATACAAAAGTATACCATTATTTTACATATTTTATTATATAATTGCGATGATTTTATAATCATATGATCACAAATAATAAATTTATAACTTTTATAATAATTATTAGGGACCAATTAAATTTAGCTGTATTGTCTCTAAAAGAGAAAGGTGATTTAGCTAGACTTGAAAACAAATGGTGGTATGATCGAAGCGAATGTAGAAATGGTGATACAAAAGTAAGTATCTATTTTGTTTTTGAAAAAAATGTTTTAAAGAAAAATATGCTTACGTTATATAAATTCATAAGTTTTAAAATAATATTACATAAGACTTTTCTCCAATGTAAAGCGTTTAATATTTTATAGGAATAAGATAGGTCCTGAGGAATATTTAGTAAGAGGGTAGTTAGTTTCGAAGGCTTTAAGGTTTCATAAAATCTCCTAAATCAATTTCGAATTTTAAATTATAAACTTACGTTAATTCCGCAATTACAAAAATAAGAATTAAGTAAAAAATGAGTTGAAGTAAAAGGAAATCTGAAATATGTACCAATTAATTAAAAAAAATATGTACCAATGAAATACGTAACAATTAATATGCACGCAAAACTCGGTAATTTATACCTATTTTGGCGTTTTATACACCTCAAGAGTTTCATTTTAGGTTTCTGTATACGAAACAAGAAACATTTTATTAAAAAAAAAATTAATTATCCCATTCTTGCTTTAAATTTTAGCACAATTTGGACATTTTCAAGTTTTTGATTCAGAATTTTTTATTTTTTCCAATCACAATTTTATTATAAAACTACTAGCCCCTTAAGATATACATATATATATANTATATATATATATATCGTCCGCAATTAGGGCTATGCATATGCATATAAGATGTTTAAAGTAGCATGTATATTTAATACTTTCTAATTAATATCAGCTTACTTCTTCTTACAAATAAACCCAAATCTAACCTGAATAGATAATTCTCCAATTAAATATATGGTTGGAGAAAGACATTTAAAGGACTTCGTTTAATCCAGAGGTTAAATTTTCAATAAATCCGAAAATAACGAGTAGCAGCAATCAAACAGGAGAATATCTATGACACATAGTTTGACATTTGAACGTTATTTTAAAGACCATGAATGCTATTTTCTGTTTAAAATAATTGATTTTTAAATGCTTTATATATAATAAGCGTATTAAGAAATTGATAGCAAAATAAAATTTTTCGGTCAGTAAAATTCGGACGTGTTTTTGTATTTTAACAGAATTTATCTTGGCTTAACTTTGGGCAAAACTTTAGTTTGGAGGATGAATTTCTCTTACATAGCACCAACTCTTTTCTTGATACTTCCTTATTTTTAAATATTTAACTTTATTGACTATTATTATAAGTGAAACACGTGTTGAAATAGTCTTGAAGACAGTATATGGGTTATTCTCACGAAATATGACAATTTACAGTCCCTTGCTCCAAGATTCAATGCTATGCTACTAAAAGAACTTTTTTAAAAAAAAAATTAATAAATAGCATTGCTGTTAGCATTTTAAAGGACTTGGCATTAGCATTGACTGTTTTGTATATTCAAGAAATTCAGTTAAATTTCAAAATGTCATTTTCCAGATATGTCGCAAACAATAATAACTAGCTTCAAAACTTCCCATTAATTATTCAATATCTAATTTTCTTATCTCAACCGTTGTAAGCATTTCTAGAATATACGCAGAGGGTATTATTTACAAAAACTTTGTTGAAAATAATTTTTTTTGTCAATTATTTGTTTGTCACACGAAATCCTGCCAATTTTCTGACTACTTTTGTTTAGTGATTTATAACCAAAATCGATAGCGCCAGCAATCAATATCTTATGTTAATAGATTGCTTAGAGTATCATTCTATCTGAACATGTCTTATTGCATGAATAAAGAACCAACTTTCTGGTTCAAAATCTATTTCAAATAATTTTTCAAGGTGAGTAGGTTTTTATGTTGTCATTTTCCTGTCTTCCTGAAATAATTAATAACAGAAACTACATAGATTTATCTGAGTTATTTCAAGAAATCCTGTTGTTTTCAGCCGAATGTAAACGCCTTAGATCAAAATGATGATAAATTAAAGTAAAGTTAAATGCTAAAAAAGGGCAAATTTGTCATTATCGTGACTGTCATTTTCCTGGCTTATGAATCACTGGGCATAAACGTGTAACCAAAAAATTTTATAAACAGTATATAGTAAAAAGGGAAAGCAAATATTAACCTAATACCATGTTTATGCAAGATTGTAATATGCTTGAATGCAATCAAAGTTATTTATTTATTTAATGATTGATTATTTACCACAATTTTACTCTGTACGTATCAGCAGCAAAAACATTTTTGATTCTTTCTACAGTGGATGAAAGAATTAATTTAAGTAATTCATGGTCCATCAAACACAAAGGTTTAAATTGAGTTGCTTACTATTAAGCTTAAAATCACTGTTTTTTAAACTTCTAAGTTAATATTTCATTTTCCTGGCATTCAAAATTTAATGAACTTCTATTTTATTTCATTTTCTTGAGCAAATGTCAATAAACTACATCGCTGTCTGTAAGATATTACTAAATGTAATCAAATAAATATACAGAAAAAAATTTAGATTATTTTGAAGACTTTAAATTTGAAGAAATTTTTTTCCCGAATTGTCATGCTTCTAGAGAATTACCCATATATTTTTTTCATTTCTTTCTTACTTTTTATTTGTAAATATATTAGCTCAACAGTGAAATTGAGCAATCAATTAAAACGTGTGGTTTGCGCACGAGTTTAGGGGGAGATTTCTGAATTCGGACCGTTGTTTAATTAGAACTGCGTATATATAAAATAACTAGACTAAGGTATTGAAAATGAATGCCAGTTGCGTGAACTGTGAGTAATTAATTTTATTCTATTGTGATATTCTACTCGATTACATCTCTAAAATGAAATTATTTATTTGGTTTATTAATTGAAATTATTCATATCAGTTATCGATTCAATCATGGAAACAAAATATGTAGAATATAAATGACATATTCTTAAGAATTTTAAATTATATTTGTACATTCTAACAATTGGAAAACTAATGTGTTTGGATGTAATATAACTTATTGATAATATGCTATACTTAATATTATATTAGATATCTAATAATGTCTTCATCTTTTTATCAACTACTTATTATTTGAAGAAATTCTTTAAGAATGTTTTATTTGAGAACTTGGTAACAATCTTCATTCAATATAGCCAAAAATATCCCATTTTGAAAGCTCAGATATTAAAAGTTGAATTTAACCGAAAATCGCAGAACATATATAAAACTATGTCCTTCAAGACGATACACTTTTAGAAATATCATTCATAAAAGTGATGTTTGAAAAGTATATTTCGATTTTATGTTTAAAACTCCTTTTGAGAGAGGGATTTCGAGCATTCCTATATGCTTATAATTAAGAAATTGTGCATATAACTAGGCTCTGTATATATATATATATATATATACAGTGGTGGTCAAAAGTGTGGACACTTTTTGAAAGTTTCATGTTTTTCAAATTTGTGTGCTTGTAGAATATATTAATTTTCACTTAAATACAAACGTTTATATATCAAATTGAAGGTAATGTAATGTAGAATTTAAGAAGAAATACAGTATTACAATATCTGTATTAAGAAAAAAGTTATGCAATTAATAGTAAGATCTATCTTAGATTTGCATTTTTTTAAAAGTGATACTTACACAATCGATACTTAGTAGGATAACCTTTAATTTTTAAGACAGCTTCACAGCGTTTTTTCATCGAGTGAACGAGTGCTTGGAGTTCATCTTTCGTAATCACATGGTGCCAAGAATCAATTATAGCTTCAATAAGTTGTCTTTTATTGGATGGACGTTTTTTT